GCTGGTGCAGTGGTGAGGATTTTCATCTTTTTACAGAAGTGTAATCAATACTGTAGGCTATATAGTCTTGGAAACACTTGATCAGTAACTGCTGCAAGTCATCTTCATCTTCTGCAAGCAAGATGGTGTCCACAGGTTGTTGATGAATTTTCCTTTACTCTTGATGCCACATTTTTCTTCATATAAACCACCTTCATGGATCATTTTCTCAGTATACAAAATAAATAGCTATGATGAAAATAACCTGACACACAACTTTTCTGTTTTAAACCATGTATACATACTCCATTGTTCTATGCACAGGTTCTGCATGAGCACAATTAACTGTTCTAGAATCTCCATTCTTTTCAGTGTTATCCATGATTTATTATGATACACATCAGTTAAATGCCTTTGCATCCTGTTGTTGTGTACATTGGGTTGGAACCGACTCATAGCTGATATTCCAGTAGGTTTTGAAAGGCAGTTTAATCACATAGGAGGAAATTAAACATCTTTCTCCCATGGACCATAACTTGGATCAGGCATACCTTAGGCTTTAAAATGACATTATTGCTCTTACTATTCTGGAGAGGGCCCTGACAACAGATTTTCCAATGTCAACATGTCTTTTGATTTCATGACTGTTGGTACCAAAGATATTGATTGCATACCAAATAAGATGAAATAGCTGACAACTTAAAACTTTTCTCCTATCATGATGTCAAAACTCTGGTGGCCTAATGGCAAGAAACTGTGCTGAAATTCCAAAGGCACGTGACTCGAGGCCACCAGATGCTCCATGGGAGAAGGATGGGCTATCTCCTCCCATGCAATTAACTGCCTCTGAAAACCCACTATGGACCCAAATAAGATGAAATCACTGACAATTTTAATTTTTTTTTCTGTCATGATATTGCCTATTGGTGCAGAGGTGAGGATTTTTGTTTTCTTGATGAGGTGCAAAAATTCATATTGGAGGTTGCAGTCCTTAGTCTTCTGCAGGAAGCATTTCAAGTCCTACTCATTTTCAGCAAGTAAAGTTGTGTCATCTGCATAATGCAGGTTTTTTGATGAGTTTTCTCTGATCTTGATGCCATCTTCTTTTTCATAAAGTCCAGCTTCTCAAATGATTCAGCATACAAACTGAACAAGTATGGAGGAAGGATACATCCCTAATGCACACTTTACTTAATTTTAAACCACGCATATTCCCTTCCTCTGTTCAAACAGCCTCTTGGCCTAGGTATCGGTTTAACGAGAAAAATTAAGTCTTCTGGGATTCCTATTCTTCTCCATATTACCATCTTTCCCACAGCAAAGTACTTTGTGTCTCTTTGGATCTTTTTATCATTTGGAGAATACATTCTCTCACTATCCTACCTGACACACTATGCAGTGTTTATGGGACTCTTCTTTAAATATTCCACACCAATTCTTTATAGGAAAGGTTCACAATTCCTTTAATGAACATTTTTTTTCCATTAAAAAAATGTCCTATAACAGAGGGTCAAGGACTGCAGCCTACAATATGGATTGAGGCTCAATGTCAAGAAGACAAAGATTCTCACTACTGGACCAACTGGCATCATCAGGATGGATGGTAAAGAGATTGAGATTGTTCACAGTGTTAGTTTGCTTGGCTCCTCAGTCAATACTCTTGGCACCAGTAGCCAGAAAATTAAAAGGTGCATTGCCCTGGGAAAGTCTGCGGTTAGGGATCTCTCCAAAGTACTGAAGAGCAATGGTGTCTCTCTGGAGACTAAAGTGCATCTGATACAGGCCATGGTCTTCGCAATCACTTGTTATGCATCAGAGAGTTGGACAATGACCAAGAGGATAGAAGGAGAATTGATGCCTTTGAGCTGTGGTGCTGGAGAAGAGTATTGAGAGTACCATGGACTGCTAGGAAAATAAACAGATTCATCCTGGAAAGGGTTAAACTGGGTGGCTCCTTGGAGGCAAGGATTCTTAGGCTCTGTCTAACATACTTTGGACATGTTTTAAGGAGAGACCAGTCCTTGGAGAAGAGCATCATGCTTGGGAGGGGGAGGGACAGCGCGGGAGGGGAAGGCCCTCTATGAGGTGGATTGATTCAGTGACTGGGGTAATCGGGATGGGAGTGTCAGAGACAGTGTGATTGGCACAGGACAGAGCAGAGTTTAGGGCTGTTTGTACATAGGGTTGCTATGAGTCACAAGCGACTCAACAGCACATAACAACAATAATAACAGTATATAGGGAGCTCTGATGGCCTAGTGGTAAGAAGGTGTATTGGAATCCCAAAGGCACGTTTCAATCCACCAGATGCTCCACAGGAGAAGAATGGGTAATCACCTCCTGTGTGATTTACTGCCTCAGGAAAGCCACTGTAGGCTCAGCTATCGAGTGAGTTCCCACTTAATGGAAAATTGTTTCCCATATGCTATTTTCTTTAATTCTCTCCCTAATATAAGGAGCTAGGTGTTACTGTTCCTTTGTTAGAGACAGGAAACCAGGGGCTCACTGAGGTTTAGTAACACAAATGGAACTGGCCATGAGCACATATTATGCTGAGGGTTTCAGGTAAAGTACTCTTTAGTCACTTAACAAATACTCATTAAATAAATGAACAATGAGCAATAACTTTCAAGGAGAGAACAGCCATTATATCCATTTTCTAGGTAGGGAACGGGACATAAATTGTCCACTATCTATTCGGATTAATTCCTATTGGAAAAGAGATTGATTGATTGATTGATTGATTTATGAATGAATGAATGATGAGATTTAAATCCAGCCTAATCTGGCACCAAACCCAGGACTCTCTCCTCTCTACCATGTCATTTCTAAGTAAATACTAGAAACAAGGTCTCTCTCAAAAAACTCTCCCTTTCTATGCACTAACTTCTACCCCTCTCTTAGCAGATACCTTCCTACTTAACACAGAATTCACATCTGAGACAAGGAGTTAGGAAATCACAGGCATGAAACTGACTGGGGTGGTGGGGGAAAATAAAAAAGAACATCATGAAACATTACCTAATTGTTTAGTAATGTTGTCATGTGCTGTCCAAAACTGGCCTGGAACAGGAGTACGGCCAAAGAGAGGAATATAAACAGATCTTGTATTGGGATGAGAGACCTCATTTTTAGCCTTTCTGATTTATAGGAAAGGTGGAGACATTTAGCTTGAGCTCCCTCAGTGCCACGGGCCAGGCACACACATTCAGGGACAGAGAGAGCCATTTAAGGGTCAGGGCTGAAAGCACATTTACACAAGAACTCCAGCAGGGAATTAAAAAGTCCCGTATGTTTTTGCCTTTCAAAGCATGATTCCTTTTCCTGTTTTTGTTATTCTGAAATGAAAAACATTCAGTTGGTGTGCCAGGCAGCAGAGGCAGCAGGCTCCCAGGTCACCAATACCCGTGATGCTATGCCAGAGAAGGCCATCAAAACATCTCTGACTTGAGAAAATCACGGCTGGGGTTTGTGCTTAACACCAAATTAATAGACTACCATTACACATGGTGGCTTACTGGGATTCCCTCAATGTTTAAAAAAGAACTATAGGAACCAAAGACTATTACTTCAAAATCAAGATGTGTGTGCTTGTGGTTTTGTCTGCTGCCTCCGTCAAGTGTTGTTACATGATGTTGCCTCGAGAAATGCTGGCTTTGCCCATGGCTGTATCACATGGGAAGGCGACATGAATGAAGAACACCAAAATCGAAGGCACTGCCCCTCCACCCCCACACACATACTCCAAATCCTACAAACAGTGACCACTATTTTAAAAAGAACAATGTACCAAAATTCTAACCTGTGAAAACACTATTGAAGGGATATTGGGGAGGGGGATTTTTTTTTTTAAAAACTCAATATAATGCACTTTTTCATCAAACAGTTGCTTCTTAAACCCTAAATTTCAACATTCAGCTTTTCAGAAAATGAGATGTTGCCTGCCCATGATATGAATGATAATGTTTAAAGAATAGGCTGGGGTGCATATTTCCAGCACACTCTCATATCTCAGTCACTGTGATTCTTTATTCAGTGTTTCACCCTTTGAACTTCCTTGCAAGAGACAACAAAATATCAAAAAGAGAAGTGCATCATGTGAGGTGGGGGTCAGCCTGATAACCCACACTTTTCCTCAGTAGCTAACCCCAAAGAGAGAGCTGATAAACAGGACCATGATGCTGGCATAGTTTTAATTATGTTCCTTATTCTATCTATACTCTGACCAGAATCTGAACACAATGAAACTTTTAATGAATGCAATATTAATTATTTTACACAGATTATGACGTGGGGTAGCCAGTGGTAGTTCTGTAGTAAAACTCTTGCCTTCCATATGGAAGACCCAAACTCAATTCTCATTCAATTCATCTCCTGCACTGTCTCCCCTGCTTTGTAGTGGAGGCCTTTGTGCTGTTATGAAGCTGAGTAAGTTTTAGTGAAGCTTCTAGACTAAGATGGAAAAAGAGTTGGTGAAAGGACAGAACAGCCAATGAAAACTTTACAGATCACAATGGATTGATCCTTTTGTGCTTGGAGTCCACCCTGAGCTGGGGGCCAATGCAACAACAACAAAGGTAAGAGAATATAATACTCATTGTTGTCAAGTGCTGTCAAGTCATAGACGATTCATAGTGATCCTATGAATGAAAGACCTGAACACTTGCGTAACTTTCGTCGTTTCTCCACGTTCATAGAGCTTCTGGAGGCAAGCCATTATGGAAGTGGATGTCACTCCCGCTTCTGAAAACAGATTTCAGAAATTTCACAAGTGAGGAAGCTGGAGCCTAGAGAGGTTGAAGGACTTGCTTCTCAAATCCACAATTTGCAAATGGAAGAGCCTGGATTAAAATGTATGGTTGTTTTGAACCCAAGCATTCAGATTTCAGCTGATTTTGCAGAGGAAAAATATTTGATAGACCTCAAAGTGCAGAGAAATAGAATCCTTAGAAAAACAACACATAGAAAGCAAAAATTTTCATTACTGACAGTCAAAGAAATAAAGAAATGTTCCAACTTACAATAACTTTCAGGTTTCCCTTAACATCGAAAGATTTGATCACCCAGTTGACAGACTTTTTGCACTTCAAGATCAGGATCAGATTTTTTAGCACCTCAAGATCCTTTTGAAAAGGTCTTATATCAACTATTATATCCACCTGGAAAGCACTGTGAATGGAAAACAAAGGCAAAGTTAGAACCCAAATGCCAGAAAGTTGCAACTATCTCCCCTTTTCCAAGTCTTCATGTTTCCAGTGTCTGGCCAGTTGATTAAAAAGCTGGAGAGCATCCCAGGCAAATGACATGTGCAAAACAGACTGTTGTTGCGCACATAACAAGTGGTTTTGCATAACAATAGAAGCACATGCCTGTTGATAATTAGCCACTAAAATATTCTCTTCTCTGGAAAATATACACAGAGAGAGGGTGGTTACTTAAAGCAATTGCTGTTTGAAAGGATCTAAAGAAACTAGGAGTTTGCTTCTAAAGCAGAACTATTGCTTTCCCAGTCTTTAACACCTAAGAGAAATAACTTTCCAACTTGCTCTGTGTTCAAATTCCTAAAATTAGGTAGCAATGTGGTGAACGAGGAGGGGTCAGGAGGAAGGAGGTGTGGCAATAAGAAATTAAGAATCCTCAAAATAAAGTAAATAAAAGGCTGGATAATTTCTTGACTTACGTAAGGTTTGTTGAAACAACAACTGCTATAAAATCAAATCTACATTTACTTTCTCATATTTCTGGATATACTAAATACATATACAAATAAACAAATACCATCAACCTGACACCAAGTCAGAGCCTACTCATACCTGATCCTCTACTGGATTTTCAAGTCCATAAATCACATGGGTGGGACTGCTCATCTTTCTCTGGAGTAGTGACCCATGGATTCCAACAGTCAGAGAAGTGAGAGCCATTAGGAACATAACTCTCTCTCTGTGTTACCACCATAGTTCTAGATACACAATTATTAAAATAATAAAAAACCCAGATAGTTAAGTAACTGACTACTGAAAAACTGAGGAACAAAGCTCAAATTTCTAAGAATCAAAAAAGAGAAGTTTTTCATTTTTTAAAATTGGTTTGCATATAATCACTCATACTCATCGTGCTTCATTCATGTACCTTGTGGGGTTTTGTTTCATGTACCTTGTGTTTTATACAATCACTCACATATATTGTATTTTATATAATTATTATTGATCTATGCCTATTATCACCCTGGCTTTTCAAGTTCACACTGAATCTTTCAATTCTTTCACCATCACCTCCTCCTCCTAACCTCTGCTATCCTAGTGATTTTCCTCATCTCTCCGTTTTTCTGCCCCCTTCTCCCCTATCCCTTCCCCTTTTGAACATTTATACTTATCTCACTGAGTTATCTTCTAGTTTCACAATAGTGGTCTTATGCAGTATTTAATTTAGCATAAGACTCTCTAGACTCTCCCATGTTATATGGTGTTCTATGAAATAAAATAACTGTTCCTTAGTGCTGTATAGTATTCCATTGTGTGGCTGCACCATAATTTCTCAATCCATTTATCTGTTAGTGGGCATTTGGTCTCTCTTGCTATGTGAATAATGCTGCTATGAAGACAGGTGTATGTATTTCCATTTGGGTCTCAGTTCTGATTTCCTTGGGATTTGTTACTAGCAGTGGAATAGTTGAGTCATACGGGATTTCTATGTTCAGCTCTCTGAAGAAACACCAAACTGCCTTCTATAGTGGCTATACCCTTTTTCAATCCCATCAGCAGTATATAAGGGTTCCAATCTTCCACATCCTTTCCAATATTCTGTGAAGTGTTTTTTAAGACTTTTAACCAAATAGTAATATAATACCTTTGTTCCTATGAATTTAAGGGGAACAAAATCTTTATTTTATTTATTAATGTGTAAAATTAATAATATACTCAAGCTTTATATCTAATTTTTAAGCATATGTGTAAGGTTTCTTCTATTCTCATTCTCTTTTAGCCTCACACAAAATTATTTATTTCAGTTAGAATGGAATATTACCAAAAACAATCAATAGTATATTTACCTTTTAAATAAAAATTTACCTGAATTTTAATTTTCAAATAATTCTATAGCATAACTTCTAAGAGGTTTAAATACTGGAGACAAGGATTCTGAGTCTCTGTCTCTTGTACTTTGGGCCAGAAGGGACCATTTTTGGAGAAGGACATCATGGTCGGAATGGTGGAGGGGACAGTGCAGCAAATGAAGACCCAGGATGAAATGGATTGACTCAGTGACTGCAGAACTACGATTAGGTCTACTGGAGATGATGATACTGGCTCCAGATAGGGCAAGTTTCCGCGCTACCTTTCACAGAGTTGCTATGAGTCACAGGTGACTCAATGGCACATAACAACAACAGAAAAAATGAACATCCCATGGACTGCCAAATGAACAAATAAATATGTCTTAGAGAAGGTACAGCTGAGAAAATGTTTTCGATAAGACTACAAAGTACAAAATCGAAATAAAACTTTGACAAGCTAACAATGGAAAAAAAGAGCTCAATCATAAAGAAAAAAAAATGAGCATTTCACCAAAGAAGACAATCAAATGTCCATCAAATATCTAGAAGATATTAAACATCATTAGCCATCAGAGAGCTACAAATCAAAACTGCAATGAGGTACTGTTTCACTCCCACAAGATTTTACTAAGATTTTAAAAAACAAAGAAAACAACAAAAAACTCATCACAACAAAATTAACCCAGAAAATAGCAAAGATTGACAGAAATGCAGGGTATTAGCACTGATTCATTGCTGATGGGAATGCAAAACAGTACAGCTATTGTGGAAAGATAGTGTGGTAGTTCTTAAAAAAAACAAAAAAACAACCCAACACACACCCTAAAAATGAAACTACCATTTACACAAAAGATGTGAAAGCAGAGATTCAAACAAAACCTTATATACCAATGTTCATTGTAGCACCATTCACAGTAGCCAATATGTAGAGAGGAATGGATAAACAAAATGTGGTATAAGCAAACAAAGGAAATTGGTTTTCTACTTAATATAATACACGATAGAGGGAACTCTAAGGCACTATGCCAGTGTTTTACTTGAGCGTTATGCTCTTCTAAGAACTATATGGGATTAAACAACTTGAAATGTTAGATAGGAACCTTAGGTGGCAGGCTGAACTCATTCAGCATTTCCTAAGCTCAAGGAACTGAAGAACAAATTCAAACCTTGAGTTCCTATAATCAAGGATGCTTTAGGCAGAATATTAAATGATCCAGGAAGTATTAAAAGAAGATGGAAAGAATATACTGAGTCATTGTATCGAAAGGAATTGGCAGACACAGAAGAATTGCATGAAACAACACATGAGCAAGAGCCTATGGTGATGAAGAAGTTCAAGCTGCTTTGAAGGAAATAGCAAAAAAATAAGGTCCGAGGAATAGATGGTATACCAATTGACGTATTTCAGCTGATGGATGCTGCCCTGGATGTGCTCACCAAGTTGTGCCAAGAAATCTGGAGACCAGGCACTTGGCCAACTGACTGGAGAGGTCTATATTTGTTCCCATTCAAAAGAAGGGTGACCCAACAGAGTTTGAAAACTATAGAACAATCTCATTAATTTCACATGCAAGCAAGATTCTACTGAAGATTATCCAAAAACGACTGGAACAACACATCAGCAGAGAACTGCCAGAAGTTGAGGCAGGGGTTAGAAGGGGTCATGGTACTAGGGATATTGTAGCTAATGTTAGATGGATCTTAGCTGAAAGCAGGGAATACCAGAGGAATGTCTATCTGTGTTTCATTAATTATGCAAAGGCATTTGACTGTGTGGATCATAACAAATTGTGGCTGACTCTGAGAAGAATGGGAATCCCAGAACATTTAATTGTGCTAATGCGAAACCTGTACTTGACCAAGAGGCAGTCGTCAGAACCGAGCAAGGAAACACAGCATGGTTCAAAATTGGGAAGGGTGTATGACAGGGATGTGTCCTATCTCCATACCTTTTCAACCTCTATGCAGAGCAGAGTATCCGAGAGGCTGAGCTCTATAAGGAGAAGTGTGGCGGCGTCAGGATTGGTGGAAGATCTATCAACAGTCTGCGTTATGCAGATGACCCAACCCTGCTTGCTGAAACAGAGGAGGATCTGAAGTGCTTGCTGCAGAGGGTCAAGGACTGCAGCCTTCAATATGGATTGAGGCTCAGTGTCAAGAAGAGAACGATTCTCACCACTGGATCAATTGGCAGCATCAGGATGGATGGTGAAGAGATTGAGATTGTTAACAATTTTAGTTTGCTTGGCTCCACAGTCAACACTTGTGGCACAAGCAGCCAGGAAATTAAAAGACGTATTGCAATGGGAAAGTCTGCTGTTAGGGACCTCTCCAAAATACTGAAGAGCAATGGTGTCTCTGGAGACTAAAGTGTGTCTGATACAGGCCATGGTCTTTGCAATCACTTGTTATGCATCAAAGAATTGGACAATGACTAGGAAGGATAGAAGGAGAATTGATGCCTTTGAGCTGTGGTGCTGGAGAAGAGTATTGAATGTACCATGGACTGCTAAGAAAACAAACAGATTTATCCTGGAGAGGGTTAAACCGGACTGCTCCTTGGAGGCAAGGATTCTGAAGCTTCGTCTGACATACATTGGACATATTGTAAGGAGGGACCGATCCTTGGAGAGGGACATCATGCTTGGTAGGGTGGAGGGACAGCGCAGGAGAGGAAGACCCGCTCTATGAGGTGGATTGATTTAGTGATTTGGGTAATCGGGATGGGTGTGTTGGAGGCAGTGTGAGTGGCACAGGATAGAGCAGGGTTTAGGGCTGTTATACATGGGGTCGCTATGAGTTGCAAGCGACTCAACGGCACATAACAACAACAACAACAAGAAGGGAGGAATAACTTATAAATGGAAGATGTGAATGCCTGCATACCTCAAAAATATTATTGATATCACTGAATTGTACTAATTAAAATGGATAAGCTGGTGTAGGTTCTGAAATGTAAATTTTCAACAAGAAAATCTGAAATAATAACGTTATAAGATAAATTTCAATTTTTTAAGTCATCCACTTCAGAAATGGCTTGCCTCCGGAAACTTTATGTATGAACAGTGCTCATGCCTTTCGTTCATAGGGAAGGTATGCGTCATCTACGACTCGATGGCACCTAACAACAACAGTTCACATAAAATGTAGACCAAAATGATTGTGGAGCCTGTTTTATCCCTCTTCTTTCCATTTTCAATTCCCTATCAAGAATACCTGATGTTGTAGTTAGATGCCACTGAGCTAACTATGACTCATAGCAACCCCCTATCCAATGATGGCCTCATGATCTCCAATATGCTTTAGGCCATTGCTACCTATAATCACTGTGTCAATCCATTCTTGATAACGTCAAATGCAGCTTAGAAGCAGTCTGACTAGGATGAAATAGGGACATCAAGAACACACGTTGTTTTAACTAAGGGCTCTTCCACATACCACCACAAAAGAACACATACGTAGCTCTAAAACAAACCATTCTGGAGGCAAAAATGCTCTGAGGTTATTATGAACTAAACTTTCTAAAAAACCAAAATATCATTAGAGTGCTAACTATCTTAGTAAGACCTCACTTGGTAATTTTTTTTTTAATCAGGGATGACTTCAGACAGGAGTGAGTCAAGAGGAGCTATATCCTCTAATTATACTCAGAGGTCTAGAATAGACTTCAGAACTCAACTAGAGTAACAGAAAGCTAGAAAGAGATGAGTAAAGTGAGGTACACAACTGAAGGTCATTATTCCTTCTTCAAAGAGTCAAACCTTAAACATCAATAGTTCTCTCCCACCAACTTCTGGAAGGCTGCATGTCCCCTCCTCAAACAGGGCTTTGGGTCCATTATGGCTGACATAGGCAAACTAGAACAAGCCCAGATTTTTAAAATTTAATTGAAGCAGAATGATAACCAGAGAGGACAAATTTTAGTTCACAATCCTAGAATGGATTACTGATAGTAGTTATCATGAGCTTTTCAGGAGCCTTATCCAAGGGACAGGGAGCTCTGGTGGCCTAGTGGCAAGCAGCTGTGCGGCTATCCCAAATGCACATGGTTCTAGGCTACCAGCTGCTTCCGGAAAAAGGATGGGCAATTTCCTCCCTTGTGACTGAAAATTGCCTCTGAAAACCCACTAGAGGGTCAGCCATGGGTCAGTTCTGACTCTACGGTTCACACATCATCATCCAGGGTACTGTATTATTGACAAGACTGTAGAAAGTGACACAATTATATGATCCTATCTTTGAGCAGGGAACTGTTATTTCTGACTCTACTGCTTAAGAGATTTGACTGCTATGCAACCTTCACTTTACCTTTGTTTTCTAAGAGAGCGGTTAAGCTTTTACTCTTCAGGGTGTCAACCTGTAACTTTTCCAGTTGTTAGTACCATTTCAGTATTTATATGTATATATATATGTGTGAGTGTGTGTGTATTCACATTTCAAAAATTCAGGTGCCATAATTTACCAATTTGGTAAATTTCCAGTTTCATTTTTCAGCCATGCCTAAACTGGAACATATAGGTTCAAGCTCTATCCTTAAGTCAGGAAAAGATTTTTCATTTCTTTTCAATTCAGGAGACAACCCACATGTGCATGTATTTACATCCATATTACCTGTAGGGGTTAGAGTTGGGGCTGATTAACTCGATGATGTGTACTTCCTTATCCTGGGGCTGGCTGGACATCACACACCCTTCTGCTGTCTTGGGCTGAAGGTACTCAGCCAGGTAATTCAGAGAGAGAAAATTCTTTCCTATGTTACATGTGGGAGGGAAAACTTGATCTGCAAGTAAAGAAGACAAGACAACCTGTTATACCACCCAGCTCATGATTACCAGGCACAAAGGAAAATGGAGGTGTAGGTAAAACCCAACAGGTGGGCAGAGGAGACATGACCCAAAGGAGGAGACAGTCTAGGAATTCACCAAATACTGCTCTGAAACGCCCCCCATTACCATCATAAAAACAAAATAAAATCCACCAACTTCAAGTTAATGTCAACTCAAGAGTACTCCATGACTAACAGAACAAGTGATTCCTAAATAGTTTTCTTAGCTGTAACCTTCATGAAAGCAGACTGTAGGTCTTTTTTCCATGACACTGATGGGAGAGCTGAAACAGACAACATAGACATTTACAGCCAACTGCAAACCACTTGTACCCCCTAGAACTTGATTTATCTTCACCAGTGATCAACACTGTTGTTGGGGACCATTGAGTCAGAACAACTGATCCATAGCTGACCCTCCAGCAGGTTTTCAGAGACAGTACAGTAAATCACACAGGAAGGACAGTCCATCCTTCTCCTATGAAGGAGCTGGTGGATCAAACCACATATCTTTAGGTGTGCAGCACAGCTTCTTGCCACTAGGTCACCAGAGTTCCACTAATGATCAGCATTAGTGGCCTCTTTTTGTCTACATTCTCTCTTTTCTGGTCCTCTACAAAATTTCAATTGCTCTCACTGATCTCCTCTGATTCACCTTTCAGTCTCTTTCATTGGTTCCTTATCTTCTATACATTTTTTTAAGGTTTTTGTTTTGTTTTTGTTTTTAAACAATGGCAATGGTCCTTAATTACTGGTATATATTAGAATGAACCTGTTTGGGCCCCAAACCCTAGAGTGTGATCCAGAAAGTCTGAGTGGAAAGGAGCCCTGGTAGCACAATGTTGAAGGACTCTGCAGCTAACCAAAAGGTCATCTGTTTAAACCTACCCGAGCAGCTCCACAGGAGGAAGACCTGCAGACATGCTACTATGAAAACTACAGCCAAGAGGCCCTACGGGGAAGTCCTACTCTGTCACATGGGATTTCTGTGAGGCAAAAATTGACTCAGTGGTATATAAAAAATAGCATGCTCCCTTCTACTAGCCCATAGTAACCAATTACAGAAAACTATTTTAAAAATCTTAAAATTGGTCCCTACAAACAGATTTCAGAGAAAGTATGGGAGGAGCTAGCCAGTCTTCTTTTTTAAAAGCTCCGTAATTAATTGTGATGTGAAACAATACAAAGATTTTCAGTTCTTTCTTCAATACTTTTGTCCCACATCCTTGTGAGTGACCTCAGCCACTTCCATGGCTCTAATCTATATCTAAAATAACCTATCAGGGCTCTTTTTCTGTACTCCAGACCCTTGTCATATAAGCCTTACTTAAAAATCCTACAGGTATTGCAGGTTAAGCATACTAAAAAAATGAATCTGGTATCTGGCCTGCCCCCAATCTGTTTCTCTCTGGTATTTGTGATATTAACAGGAATACCAGCTACCTAGTTAATTTTCTGGCCCATGTGTAGATTTAATTATTTTCTTGGGCTTATCCCCTCAACACTTCATTTCTCCTAAAGACCGTAAAAGTCAGTTAGGGTAAACAGCAGGGGCAGAATTCCCTGCTATTTCACTATCTTGACAGAGATAGCTAATGTTTATGTGGCCCTTTATGGTCTTAGTCGATGCCTTCACAAACATCATCTCACTGTGCTCAAGGCTGCTCACCGCCTCCACCTGGAAAGTGATGCAACAGTCAGCTCTGAAGATAGTCCCCAATGGCACACGCCATTTACACAGCACTGTGGCTGATGGGATTTCCATCCAGTGCCTTAAATGTTTAAACAGAACTTTAAAGAAACTGCTGGCAGTGTGACAGCTGGGACAAGTGTCAAGGAAGTTCTAGGTGTAGCAAGTCTTTTTCAGAAGGAGTAATTCATCAGAGCCCTGGCATTTTAATGAAATACATTTCTTCCTTATTCATATAGGCAGGATGCCAACATACAAATGGACATACAGATCTCACCCAGGAGTAAGGAATCGGCCTGAGAGGTCCCAAGACTGGGTTGAGTCTGCTTCCCTGGCGTGTGTAATATGCCTTATGCTGAGAGCTGCATTCACTGCAGCATCCAGGGGCACCACCGCATCCAGAGCCTCACACCAGGCACAGAGCAGACCGGAGCAGTTCACAATGCACTCTGAGTTCTTCTCTAAAAGATTGCCTCAGGGAGAAGTGCTGAGCTCTGCCTGCTGAGACTGCTTGCTTGAGTAGCCTCCCCACCACATCTGCTAAGGACTCTGCCAGATGAGGTATGCTCACTGCAGCTGCAGCCTGCGGATGCCTCCCCCAGATCACAAGATGGAAAATGATATTAGGACGGCGGGTCTGAAAGTAAACCAAGAATAGGAGGGGCATGCAGGCCAAGGACGGTCAAGAGGCTAGGACCTTTCTGGAGCTCTCTCAGACACCCAGATATCTGGTATGCTGTATGCATAGGTTTCTGGAATTAACAAACTATAATACAACACTTACGATGGTAACAAAAATCTACCCATTTGTGACCCTCCATAAACAAAGGCTTAATCACTTGAAAGTTGCTGTTAGGAAGGACTCAAGTTCCAGAGGGCACTGCCACCAAGTTCAATAAACTGATTACTTTTTGTTGTGTGTGGTTCTCCCCTCCCCCAAATGCCTGGCTTAAAAACTTAACCTAAGTGCCAAGTCAAAAGGAAACCACAAAGGGGATTCCCCGGGTAGAAACCTGGCAAGTTTGGGCAAAAGAAAGTCACATGCTTCTTTGTATTTTAGGAAAGGATTGACAGATTGAATTAAGACTCAGAATGGCAGACTCCGAAAGCAGGAATGAGCTTCCTGGAGGGAAATGCAAACTCCTTATCAGATGTGAAAACTGAGGATCTGGTGGTAAATAAGAATGCTAATGGTGGCTTAGTGGTAAGGAGTTGCCCCAACAACCCAAGGCACACACAGTTCTAATCCGCCAGAGAAAGATGGGCAATCTCTTCCTGTGCCATTTACTGCCTCTCAAAACCTGCTGGAGGATGAGCTACACTTGATTCTGACTTGATGGTTACACATCAACGACAACACGGTTAACAAGATCAGCTTCAATAAGAACCATGTCTCCACACTCTTCCACTCTCAAACTTTAGCATTTATCAGGATTACCTGCAGGTTTATTAAAATATGATTGCTGGATCACACTGCCAGAATTTCTGATTCTGTCAGTCTAGACTGGGTCCCAGAATTGATATTTCGAGCAGGTTCCAAGATGCTGTTGTTGTTGCTGCTGCTAGTGTCAAGACTACACTTTGAGATCTATACTGGGTTAGAACAAAAGCAAACTCCTACCTGGTATTCTAGCACAAGGAAAAGAAGAAACAGGCCAGGCTCGTGGAAGCCAGTTGATGAAGCTTGGTCCATGGCAGTAAACAACATTTCCTTACAGCCTGTTGACTCTATCAAAGAGCATTATTTCCTCTCTCCACAACATGACTTACATCCAACAGGTGACTAGAGTCACATTTTCAGGGGTTCTAAATATGTTATTAGGAGTCTCTGAGTATAATAATTAATTTAGATAATTATAATACTTTTTTTAAGTTGCTTTTAGTATCATATTAAATTAAAACTCATAGTTGTGGTTAGGTGCCTTCGGGCTGAGTTCAACTCACAGCAACTCTATGAACAACAGATCTGTGCCATCCTCATCATTTCTGACATACTTGAGCCCATTACTGCAGTCATTGTGTCAATCTATCAGACTGAGAGTCTTACCCTCTTTTGCTGACCCTCCCTAGTAGAATAAACTTATGCTATATTATGCGTTGATACAGTAACTGGGGCAATGGGGGTTGGTGTATCAGAATTAGTGAGACTGGCTCAGGACAGGGTAGGCTTCAGAGCTGCCATACATATGAGTCACTATGAGTCGCAGGCAACTTGAGGCACATAACAACAACAACAACATATAAAACATATTTTTAAACATATTTGAAAATTAGCAATTATTATTTTTCACTAACTTGGAATATAATTCTGTATGTAAATGTTTATACCAATAAAAAGTAACTTGACTGAATTCATTGCAATGGTGGATTTATTCTGGTTCCCTTGCTTTTATGTATCATGTGAGATCACAGTTACTTCACAGTTACTTCTGGTTGTTTACCAGGACACATACTGAAGGAACTTGTGTTTGTACTGTGGTGAAGAACCTTGCTAGTTTAAACTGCTATATCTCCAGATGTGGTTGTACAAAATACCCTCTCAATGGTTACAATGGATACAAAATCTGTTATCTAGGAATATGATCCATTCTTGGGCAGTTACTGCTCACACTGGATCTTGTAGCAAGTTGCTTACTGAATGAAAACAGAAAGAGTGAGACTTAACAATCTACCTCTACCTCTTACTTATCAGAAAGAAATAGTGTCCTACCACAAAACCTGACAAAATAAGAAGTTTTAGTTATAAGGCAGGAGACTGACAATAGGGCATAGAAGTTAACAAAGGTTGTAGGGACCTCATGGCTTAAACAACATGGGTGCCCTCTTAACTCTGAGTGAACTGTATTTCTGGCCAGCACGTTTCCACACACTGGAGCTGGCATTAACATCATGTAGTGCCCTGTCAGTTCCCATCAACTGGAGCACTTACTTTTCATGTGTCCCATTTGCTTAGCATCTATGGGTCTTTGTCTTGGACAACTGGCCCTCCTGTTTTGCTGACTCCCCAGTCATGGGCTTAAAAGGGTTATCTGTCCCTGACTACCAGAATTCAGTTTCAGGCATACAGACACTGGAAAGAGCTTATGATTTTTACTAAATAGAGATTCTTTAGTTTGCTTGAATGCAACTTAATTTCTAGTTACTTGAGTACCATTAATGTTTAGTAATAAATTTGTACTTTTCAAAACCAACTTTCATCTAAAAATGCCCCTCTCTACCAAATCTTTCCATCTAGACAACCCATCTTCATTTTCAGGCTCTGCTTCCTTGGCTTAGGCTTAAAATAAAGCAGTAGACAATAAGCCTCAGACTCAAGAATCAAGAAACTAGGACATGAGTCTAGGCATTGTTATAAGTATGGCAGGTTGTGGCTACGGTTGTGTGCTGTGAGTTGGAACCAACTCATAGCTGACCCTCCAGCACGTTTTCAGAGGGAGTAAATCACACAAGAGGAGACTGCCCATCTTTCTCCAGAGGAGCGGCTGGTGGATTCGAAACATGTGCCTTTGGGATTGCAATGAAGTTTTCTTACCACTAGGCCACCAGAGCTCCCTAGTATGGGAAGTAGCTAATAGTAAAAATAGTAAATAGTAAAAATAGTAAAGATTTAGATGAGTCTGCTTAACCTCTACTGACTGCTCTGTAATATGACAAAAGCAATATCTTCCTCTTATGTGGGGGTTCAATGTGCATGTGAGAGCACAGGACCTGACTCTGCACATGAGTACACTTCACAATGCCAGTGCCCACTTTTTCCGCATTTGTCTCATAGATACTTTGATGAAGCCAGATCCCAGAAAAGGTTCTGGGGGAGGAAAGCTCTATAACCCACTCTCCCTCTATCCTGTGGTTGCAGAGATTGTTGATGTAGAATTCAAAAGGAAGAAGCTAGACACTGAGCTGAAGCACATTGTCCACAGTCACCTGACTCTCACAAGGACTCATTCACAAGAGTTACTATTTCATAGTACATTGTAAGAGCTCCACAAATGCTCAACTAAAAATAATGATGAAAAAAATCATTCAATAAACAGGCTTTCAAAATTGAGGCACTGGGTATTTATATCCACCTGTAAGGCAAAAGGAAATTAAAATGGGCAATCTCTTACTAAGGATATGTAGTTTCTTTCTCTAATAATTTGTCCTTGGAAGAGAACTTACTATTAACCATATAAATAATTTCACTTTGCTTGAGTCCAAAAATGCAACTGATGCCTTAAGACCACAAACTGACACTGATTTCAAATGCTTGCAGAATGATTGGCAAGAGGAAGCTTTAATTGTTCGTTCCCTGCCAAGTCCTCCTGAATTCTTTTATCATTTTCTTCCCCCACCCTCAGCTTCTTGCCCTCTTCTCACTCCTCCTGACTTCTTCCTTGAATGAAGACTCCCCCTTTCTCAGCCATGTTATTATTGCTAGTTTCTAGAGAATCCATTGTGACTCATGGAGACTCCATGTGTGCAAAACAGAGCACCAATCAAACAGTGCCATACACCAACCACAGTGATCCAAGTTTGTGAACTTTCAGAAAAAGATTTGTCAGGTCTGTCTTTCAATGTGTCTCTGAGTGTGTCTGAACAGCCAATATTCAGCTAGCAGTTGAATACCGAGCCGTCTGCATCACCGAGTGACTCCTCTCAACTCTATTACTCGCTATTTTTTCACTTGTCTCTACCAGGCCTGTTTCTTTAGAAGGAACAGAGAAGGAGAGGATGAAGAAAGGAAGGGGAAACGCTAGGGATGGAGTTGAGGAGCAAGTCCAAACGCTCACTCAGATCCCTGCCAATGCTAATATTCTGAAATCCAATGATACCATATCCTAACCACCTAGTCTCAGGAAAGAAAACAACTGACTGTTGTAAATTAGTCATTAAGTGAAACCATATAAAACTTACCTTCCCCCACTTTAATGTAAATGTTTCTCGCTATCTTGAGTTCAGTGAATGAAGTGACTGCTCCATACTCCTTTTGGGCCCAATTTAACAGATGTTCGTTTCCATCAGGGAAATTCTTTTCTTCTGTTTTTGCCGACAAAGAGAAGTTTCCTGATGAAAACTGTACCACGGAACCCTCAGACACCTAAAAGAAATAAAACTTCTTATTTAACACAGTGTAGTGACCCAAAGGAGCATGATAAATAGAAAACACTTATTAAACAACTAATAAACATAGAAAACACTTATTAAATAACTGATAGACATTGGTCAGTAAGTCCCCGATACCACTGACGGCCAAACAGCAAGCACACCTGTCGTGGAGGAAGTGTGACCAGGGTGGTCCTTAGAGGAGAGGAGAGTAAAACTTGATATTTGGGGCAAATTGTCAGGAGGGGTCAGTCTGTGGAAAAAAAGACATTATGCTGGGAAATGCAGAGGATCAGCAAAAGAGGAAGACCCTCAATAAGACAGACTGACACATAACTGTAACGAGGGGTGTGAACATGTTAGAGATTGTGAGGATGGCGCAGAATAGGGTGAGTTTCCTCTCTGTCCATAGGGTTGCTTATGAGTCACTGTTGACCCAATGAGACTTAACGTAAAGGGTGGGCTTTTTTATTTTCCAGTATTTTTTTTTTCAAACTGATTCAAGAAATATTTCCAAACCCAATTTCCTAGGTAGGGACAACTTATATAAGATGTCTCTTTGAATAACTATCTCTCTGTCCCTCTATCTCTTTATGTAGGGAGCTCTGGTGGTAAAGTCAGTAAGCAGGGCATTGTGACGCTAACCTAAAGGTGGCCAGTTTGAATCTCCTGGCAGCTCTGCAGGAGTTAGATGGGCAACTTCCCCTTACGTGATTGACAGCCTCTGAAAACCCACTGGAAGATCAGCTACAAGTTGGCTCCAACCTGGTTAACAATGAGTTTTATGAGTACATCTATATAGATAGAATTTTACAGTGTTTGCAGTGAAGGTTTACACAGCAGTGTAGGGTTCCCCTATGACAGTTTCTGAAGAAGCTGTTCAGTGATATTAACTGTATTCTCTACAATGCATGAACGTTCTCATTATTTATTTGAGTTGTTTCACTTTAAATCTTACTTTTTTAAAGCGTGTTTAACAAGAGACTCTGGAGTGCACTGTGAGTAATTGTAAGATTTATCATGGCCATGTCCTAGACATCTCAATTTGAAGGAGAGGCTTTGAAGGAGAGACTTTGAATCAGCTTATTTCAAGTAAAATGGAAGTGAGTGTCCTCATGGTTGGAGAATAGAGATTTTTCTGATAGTTTCCTTCTGTCCCTTATAGCCTTATTTTTAAACATGTACACAAAATAGTACTTAAACGAAGAAAAACAAAACCAAAAAACTTTCAAAAATATCTTAAAAACCAAAACAGTACTTAACTCAAGACATTGTTCTCTATTAAATTATTTATGTATATATATTTAATTATATCTATAATAATTATATATATAGAGAGAGAGCACGTGTGTGCACAAGCGAGAGAGAGCACGAGAGCGCACGCACATGAATTAGAGAGAGTTCTTTCCAAAAGACAGATATGAGTTATTATGAACTAGACATCTGCTTTTGTGAAATTTGTGTATGATTCTGGGGTGGGGTGATAGATCTAGTTACAGTTTTTTTTTCTCCTTGCCTTCTCATCTTTGCTTTAGAGTAAATGTGGACTATTTGGTCTCATAAAATTGTTTAAGGGACACAGGACTCATAAGTGATACTATTTGCTTTAGAAGTTAATTATTTGACTGAAAGGTGATTTCCAGATGTGTCTTCAGTGCCATTTCAATAGGCCACTTTTAATAGTATTGCCGGTTTCCCTGGCTATTGGTCCAGTAGATCTGGCCTTTTTTAGGACTTTAAGTTGTATTTTATGTTTTTATCCCATTCTCTCCAGGATCTTCCTTTGTGTCACTGGCCAGAATAGTCATTAGTGATAGCGGGGTACCATCTAGTTCTTATAGTCTTAGGTTAGACGAAGCCCCTGATTATTCGGACATTTAGTCTTAGGGACTTTTGAGTATTTAGTTTCCTTCATTATCTTTTGCTCCAGATGAGTAGACAAAAATAGCTGAAACTCAGATGATCAAGTTCCGGGATCAATGTCCTACTACAGTTGAGGATCATTGCCCAAACAGTTACCAAGTGATTCACTCTTTGAAAGTACTGTTACAGAACAGAGCCAGGGGCTCCCTCGACAAAAGTAATTATCAGTTTGGGGCAAGTTGTCCTCCCAGGAGACATGTGCCATATATGGAGACATTTCTGACTGACACAAGTAGGAAAGTAGTGCTACTCGCTAGTAGAAGCTAGGGAGTGAGGCTAAATATTGTACAATGCACCAGAGTCTTCACAATAAAGAATTATCCAATCAAAAGTCAATACCAGGTTCCACTGAGTTGATTCCAATTTATGGAGACCCAACAGATTTCCGAGCAGAACTATTCCCTATAGAGTTTCAAAAGCTCATTTTCTAGAAGCAGATCTCCAAGCCCATTTTGTAATGCATGGCTGAGCAGATGAAAATCTCCAAAACTTGCTAGTAGTGGAGTATTTAAACCATTTGCACCACCCAGAGACTTCAAAAATGAGGATAGTAATGAAGATTAAAAACACTTTTTTGTACTTTGGACTGGCTGAATGTTCCTAATCCAAACATCTCTTGCCACTGAGTCTATTCTAACTCATAGTAACTCTACAGGAGTGAGTAACTCATAGTAACTCTACAGGAGTGAGTATAACTACCTCATAAGGTCTGTAAGACTATAACTCTTTATAGACGCCTCGTCTTTTTTCCATGGAGCTGTGGCTAAGTTTGAACTTCTAACCTTTTGATCATTAGTTGAGTGATTAACCATGGTGCCACCAGAGTTCCTTCTGAATGTTCCCACTACCCTAGTCAGGATAAAGATGGGCAATCTCCTCTTTTGCAATTTACTTCTTCTGTAAACCTGCTGGAGGGTCTGTTATGGGTCAGTTCTGCCTCAACATCACACAAGAATCACCATCCTAATAGTCATTGAATCTCCAATTTAGACCCCAAATTGGTAGCACTTTCTATACTAGAAACTAGATAGCTCAGTCTTTAATAAAGAATAAGAGGATGTTTCTAACATGATTTGGATTGGAAAGCTAAGAAGCAACTGATCATTATTAAATTAAGTTTACACTGACCAACAATGGCTACGTTTTATTCCATACCTACTACAAAATGCTATCAAATGTAAATATGATAGTTTCTAAATGTTCTAATACTCAGCTCCACAATCAACACTCTTGGCACAAGCAGTCAGGAAATCAAAAGATTAATTCCACTGGGAAATCTGCTGTCAGGGACCTTTCCAGAGTACTGAGAAACAAAGATGTCAGTCTAGAGACTTAAGGTGTGCCTGATCCAAGGCCACGGTCTTCACAATTACTTGCTATGCATCAGAGACCTGGACAATGACTAAAGATGACAGAAGAAAAATCGATGCCTTTGAGTTGTAGTGTGGAGAAGAGTCTTGAACATACCATAGACTGCCAAGAAAACAAAGGAGGTCTGTCTTGGTGAGGGTGAAACCAAGTTTCTTCTTGGAAGCTCTGTCTCACATACTGTGAGCACATACTAAGTGGGACCAATCTTTGGAGAAGGACATCAGGCTTGGAAGGGTGGAGGGACAGTGCAGGAGAGGAAGACCCTGGATGAGATGGATTGACACAGTAACTGAGGTAATAGGGGTAGATGTGTTAAAATCAGTGAGCCTGGTTCAGGATAGGACAGGGTTCAGAGCTGTTGTACATAGGATCGCTATGCTGGTTTTAATGAAAGTCAGTGGGGAACATCTGTTTTGACATTTTCTGCATAATAAGAGAGGAAGATCCTTAACAAGATGGATTGACACAATGACTAAGAGCGGGCTTGAGTATTTTGGAGATCATGAGGATGGCACAGGATAGAACAGGATTCCAACCTAACTGCCACTAAAACTGGCAGTCAACTTCATGGCACACAACAGATCAAAAGGAAAATCTCTACATCATTTAACCTGCGAAACAACCATTCTCCACATATACTTCCTCTGAAATGTATCTATTTAGCAACTGTAAACAAGGCTGGTCTCAATTTCTGACTTTTACACTGTGGTTAAATCTTCTCACTGAAAAGCACTTGCAATAAAGTAATTTTTATCAAGCCTGTTACTGAAAAATCCACAGTGGTCCAGAAGATTTTATTCCACATCCAGAAAGCATAGTTCTTAATGGCAAGTATCTCTGGAGGATCTACTTCTGTGTTCTCATTAATGATACAGTCATAATAATATGAAACATTTAGGTTTTTAAATATACTATCTATAGAGTATAGCTTCTCAGAGAGGAAAGTGAGATATATCACACTGGTGCTCTCCAGAGATAAGAAAATGAACAGTGTGAATAGGAGAAGAAATAGGGAACAACTTCAGAATCTATCCTGAAATTATTACAAAGCAACCTCACAGCACAGCTGACTCTGTAAAAAGACACAACATCTGTCAAATTCCTCCATGCACCATCACCCCTGCTCCAGTCTGTCCTTTCCTGGGCCAGCAGCAATAAGGTCCACACACTCAGGACTCAGGAATTTGGAAACGGAGTTTAACTGCTACTCCTCAGGCACATTCCAATAAGAAGAAAGCAAACTTGCCAGGAGCAGTGAAATGTCCTGACTACAGGTCAGTGGAAATTTTCTGCTTCAGTGAGGGGTTAGTCAGCACTTTGCTCAGGACTGCTGGCTATTCCCACTTAGGACAAAGCTGGATGGATGCCTGACAGAGACCCTCTCACCTCACCACGTTTTATAAGGTATTGTTCACATGTTATTTCCATTCGATTCTCAGGGCACCTGGGAGGTAGGCTACTATGATTTCCACAGCCAAGAGAATGAAACCTCAGAGAGGTTAATGGCCTATCCAAAGTCAGAGAATCAGCAATGGGAAAGATCAGAACACGTGACTTCTGACTCCTGGTCACAGCTGGCCTCTACTTGAACCCTTCAAAAGGACCTCATTAGCTCCCAAGAAAGAAATCTGTTCTTACTTTCTATCTGGAAGATTTGTCTTTTATCCACTGTGCCTTCCAGACCAAAAAAAAAAAAAATAA